TTGACAACCCACCTACACCGACTCCCACTCACTCCTCAGGTTCTGCCCTGTAGGAGGCTGCGTAAGATGTCGGTTTGTTCAAATTCAAATTCATGTCATGGCATTTCTTGAAATCTCTTGAAGTTGACGGGAACAACTGTGAATGGTCGATTGAGAGTCAACATTGATATTCTATCTCCAACCCACCTTCGTGAAAACTTGCCGCCCTGAGGGGTTGTAAGAATAGTCCAGGCGGCGTAGATTATTTTTATAAATTACTAGTTGCAGCACTTTCTCAACGTGATAATTAAGAGAAAATCGTACGAATTGAATGGAAATGTTTTGGACAAAATCCGATTGTATGATCATTGCGAAAAAATTGCAAAAAGGTGCGAAAAAAAGGTTTTCTCGACTTTTAGGCAGGAAAAAAATTGTTGAGTAAAAAATGTCATGTAATAGCGCTTGAAAAGACGAATAAAATGGTTTTTGGATCATTAAAATCGGTTTATAACTATTTGCACAAAAGAATAAAAACCGAGAAAAATAGCGATTTTTCGGTGGTGGGGGAACTCTCTCTCCCGCGGTTGGAGCGGACGCCCGGAAAGCGATCGCGCGCGTTCAAATTCGACAAGCCGGAAACAATTGAGATTTCTCGGGAACTACTGAACGAAAATTGATGTTTTTTTTTGCTGTGCCCGCGGGAGAGTTCCCTCACCACCTGCGCCACTTCCCCTTCGCTCGTGCGTCCACGCGGCTGCTCTCTAAAATTGCAAGTTTTTCGGTCGCGCTTTTAAGGTACTTATTATTATCGGATCGACTTCAAATTTGATATGGTTGTAGAGGAAGTCTTCAAGAACACGCAGCTTTTTGCAAAATTGCTCTACGACAATTATTGTGGAAATAGGGGCTGCCGTTTTACTAAAGTACCTGTTTTTACTTTTTCGCAATTTGCGCGAAAACTTATGAATATTTTTTTGACAAAAATTTAACTGTAGATAGGTGTTGGAAAACCCTACAATTTGAGCACCGGAAGACATTTCTAGGATAATTACAGACCGAGTAATTGAACATCGAAAAATCGCTAATTTTCACGGTTTTTATTTTTTTGCGCAAAAAGTTATCTACCGATTTTAATGATCCAAAAACCATTTTATTCGCCTTTTCAAGCGCTATAACGTGGTTTTTTTGTTGTTTTTTACTCAACTTTTTGTTTCGTACCTAAAAGTCGGAAAAACCTTTTTTTTCGCACATTTTTGCAATTTTTTCGCAATGATTCTACAATCGGATTTTTTCCAAAACATTTTCATTCGATTCGTACGATTTTCTCCTAATTATCACGTTGAGAAAGTGCCGCAACTAATTATTTTAAACAATCACTTGTTCTTTGCTACCTCGCTTGGACTAGAAGATCTTGATGCGTGGTGTGACTCAAACAGCCTTCTTGAGGATGCTTGAACCCATTTCGGCACACTCCGAATCGCCAGTCTCCTTCAAATCCTCTTTTGCGTGCCATCACCCTCTCTTTTTGACCCCCTCCAAAATTTTTTTGAGTGGATGAAAATTCCTGAAAGTAGGCTCGTTGGGTAGATGGCACCTTCCTTCGCACTTGTGTGAATCGACAATAGTGAAATTCGCGAGAGATGCTTGGTACGCGCGGCAAGTGTTCACTGTGCGTAGCTCCTGCGAGGTAGGCCACCCAAACATGCTTTCGCTCGTAAAATTAATGGAAAAAACTGCTGTTTGGGTGGTCTGCCTCGCAGATGCTAGCTCAGTCGAAAGTTCATGCGTCCAACTGACAAGGACCAGTTGTCGCGCGTACCAAGGGGCGTAGCCAGGGGGGCGATGGGGCGATCGCCCCCCCCCCCAAAAGATAAATACTGGCTACGCCCTTGGCGCGTACCAAGCATCTCTTACAAATTTGGTTATTGTCTATTCATACAAGTGCAAAGGAAGGTTCCGCCTACCAAACTACCCCTCTTTCAGGAATAATCATCCACTCAAAACATTTTTGGAGTCGGCCAAAAAAAGAGGGTGATGGGATGTTAAAGAGGATTTGAAGGTGACGGACGAGTCAGTGTGTGCATCCTCAGGAAAGCTTTCTGAGTCACACGCATCAAGACCTGCTTACAACCCTTGCGCGGCAAATTTTCAGGTTGTGAATTATTGGAGTTGGAATATCACTTTTGACGCTCAATCGGCCATCCGCAGTGAGTTCCGCCAACTTCGAGAACCTTCAAGTAATGCCATGACATGAATTCGAGACAAAACGACATCCCACACAGCTCTCTACAGGGGCGGAACCAGAGGGGGTGAGTGAAGGAGTCGGTGTGGATGTGGTCTGGAGGGGTGCTTGAGTTGTTAAAGGGTGAAAGTGAGTTTTGGTACCCCACAGCAATTTAGGCAGCATTAAGATCAATGGATTCGCTCAACAGAGGTCAAACCATGCAAAACTCAGCTTAAATGCAAAAGGGCGGCTTAGGGGGTATGGAAATGGGTTGAGAAAATGGGACGGCTACCAAAATGCACAGAACTTATTCAGAAAGTCTTGATGTGTGTTTAAGTCACAGCACAGCGACTTCGGGGCATTAAAACCCTATAGGCTACAGAAAGTTAAAAACCGTAAGTCTCTAACTCGAATAGAACGCAAATGGCGCTAATCTAAAAAGTGTTACGCTAATTTTGACGAGCAGTTTATGATTTACGAGTATTTTTGGGAAAAATGGCACTTGTGGATTGTGTTCTACTAGTGGACTACTCACCAACAAATGGGCCTTAGGGTTTTTCGTCAAATAAACAAAATATCTCATTTTTTGGTAGAATCGTCAGTTACGAGGTACTGCCTCTTATATACTAACTAATCTAATGCTGTAGCAAAACAGCTGTGCTGCCGACACCCAACAGGACGACATGGTTGCCAGATTTCAACAATTATCACGATTTGGTGTGGAAAAATTTGCAAAAGTCGCCCAACGCAATAGTCTTGACGACACAAAAAAAGGGCACCATGTTACATTTCTGTTTATGCATCATGTATTTGCCTCACGTTTTACCACAAATTACGTGTTATCAAGCCAACAAACCAGCGGCATAGTACTTAAAAATAGTAAATGACTAGTTTCGTCACACATGACACTTTGTCAGTTTGTCAGCTTAAACATTGTACGGGAATCCATTACGTATGACGTCTGCTCCGCCCATCTTCTACTACGACCCCTACCAATATTCCATGCATTTGAAATGCATGTAATAGAATCCAAATAAAAATTCCAGATCTGTATATGCTTTCTTACAGGCAGTCGCTCATCTGCACTCTGAAGGAGCACAAGGGTCCCGTCTCTGCCATAGACATCAACAAGTTCGACGACGAGGCGGTGAGCGCCAGTACGGATGGGACCTGCATCATTTGGGATCTGCTGAAGCAGTGCCGCAGGCAGATACTTTTTTCCAACACTCTGTTTATGTGCGTACGATACTATCCCAGCGGCGTGCAAATACTTACTGGTAAGTCAGTGAGTTATGATTAGACGTAGGAGATTTGAGAGACATGCCAGGGGCGGATTTAAATTGTAATATAACGAGCGGTCTAAACGATTTTTTTCCAATATGGCTGCCCAATATGAATAACCAGTATGATGTGGTCAAATTTGCGATGATAGACAATTTAATGCAGGACATCGGCAGGTTTTACCTTGCAAAAGGTCAAGAAAAATTGATCATTGGTACAGTTCTTAAGTTTGATGTAGTAATTACTATTCTGAGTTTTCGACCTTGAAGAGCTGTCGTTCGCACCGCCACATTGGAAAAATGGAGCAAAACGTCACTTTTTCGCGAAATCTAGTTTTCAGTACAAGTTGCGCGAAAAATAGTTAGTTGTTTAAAAAATGCAGGGTATATTATCTACATGTTTTGCATCTCTAGAATTTTTTTACCGAGGTAAACAGTTTCCACGGTTCAAGGGTGTAGAGTGGAGTATTTTTTTAAATTATCCAAAATAGTCTAATTTTCTCTTTTCATTTAACTATTACATTAACATTAACTGAATTTGATAATATATTAAATCTATTCGAAATTTCAGTTAATTATTATACCTAGTTCTTTATTTCTTATTCATATCCACACCACCATGGAGGTAGAGTGAAATGAGGTTTCCTTAGTAGGTCTAATCCACAATGTGAACTGTCTGAAATTCCATGCATACCTATTCTTTTTAATCTTTTGGATGGGTTAGTTGTTCAGTCGATATTTTGTTAAACATTTTTCTCTTCGTCCTCGATTTCGTCTTCTGTGGTTATGATAATTAGGCATTGTTTCTCATTTCAGTAGTGAGAAACTGATTGATGACAGAATTTTCCACATCGTCATTATCGGCGTCTGATAAAGTTTCTGGAAAGTTGAGACATGAACCTTCATTATATAAAGCACATACGTTTCAATCCTAGTATGCTATCAATATTTCCGAGATCTGTGGGAAAAAGTAAACTTAATGTATTGCCCTCACTCCCTAAAAGCGATGCCGAACAAGTTCAAACATGGTAAGATCGAAAAATGCACAAGAATTGAATGAAGATTTATGGGGTACTGAGTTTTGTGTTGTAAGCTTATGGGATTATGATATTATGGAGTTTGTTATTCAATGATAACGTAGCTGTACATATATGTATATAAGATTTGCTTGTTCAACGTTTGTAACTAATTAATTTCCGAATTAGAACGAATATCTATCGTCCTTTCTCAGGGTTACGGTATTATAAGGTCACGATGCTACGGGGCGTGTAAGTATTCCAGGCTCTTGGTAATAGTATGAAAATGTTATGGAATTCTTAATTTGAATATTGAATGATTTACGCTGTTTGCGAGATGTTTTTGACTGTGGAAAAAAGCTTCCTCGTCATTGGGCAAATATACAATACATGAGATAATGTGGTCTACTCTGATGAACAAAATATTTTTTTTGAGGGGGGGGTTGTCATGGATGCGCCAAGACTAAATTTTATTAAAAATGGCAAAGATGCCTTTAGACCGCGGCGATAGCTCACTGGGTAAAGCGCCAGGTGAGAAGCGCGGGTTCGAATCCCGCCTGTGGCAATTGGCACCTGTCACAGGGTTTGGTTGTGTGTCCTACGTCTTTTTAATGTGTATTCTCCCTCTGCACAGTTGTAATAACTCTTAGAGGGAGAATGTCAATTTCTGTGATTTATTATTTTTTATATTCGTGGTATCTTCGCTGCTTTTATTGCAACAGTGACAATAATGATAACACTATATTATTTAAATAATATTTTCAAGATTCATGTCTCTTACATAGGTGGATCGGATAGGAAGCTAGCATACTGGGAAGTTTTAGATGGTAGCTTGGTGCGAGAGGTGGAAGGATCTTCCTCGGGTGCCATTAATGCCTTGGATATATCCCCTGATGGAGACCTTTTTGTAAGTGGAGGAAATGATCAGGTTGTTAAACTGTGGAAATATCAAGAAGGTAGGTGTTAAGTGTTTTTAAAATAATTGAAAAACATCTTGACGGACTGTTAAAAAAATGAAGGTAGTCGATTGGGGAATAATTTCTAATATAACTCAGCATAGAGGGTGGTCCAACGAAAAGTTTCCACTCGGATTATTTTGGTAACAAGTGATTTTTCATGGAAACGCCAAAAAAAATCCACCTGATTTTATTTGCTACGGACGCTCATTTTTCACAATGTCGTTTTATTAACGGAAGGAATATAGAAAAGGTAATAACCCCTGAAAAAATCTTAAATGGAACAATAGCCAAATGACGCATCATTTGGAGAGCATTTGGATTCTCATTTCAGTGGTGTTTTATTTTTTTAGATTTGATTCAGTAGCTCCTGAGAAAATGTGTTTTAAAGTTATTTGGTAATAAAAAATCATAAATTAATTGGTAACAAAAACACGTTTTATAACGCTGGAGATCCTTCAGAATACAAGAAATGGATTTGTAATGAACATTTACTATTGTATGGATGTTAATGGTGCACAATTTGAACAATATATTTCTATAAAATTTGTTTATCAATTATATTCGGTTTTTTATTATCAAATAAGTTTAAAACACGTTTCCTCACGACACACTGAATCAAAATACAACTGAATCTAAAAAATAAAACACCACTGAAAAGAGAACGAGGAGACCCTTTAAATGATGTGGCATTGACCATTGTTGATATTTAATAATTTGTTAGAGGTTACTACTCCGCTTATGGACCTTTCGCAAATAAGGTGAAATTGTAAAAATATGTGTCCCCGTAACACTCAAAATCGACTCGTTTCGGCGTTTTCATGATAATCCGGGTGGATACTTTTCGTTGGATCACTCTGTATAAGCTAATATGTCAAATCACCATTTGGGTTTGGGTAGTGGGCATTTGATTAGCTGTAAACTCCCTGAACTGACCGTTGGGCGAACGTATTTTCTTGAAACTTTGTGAAAACTTTTATGATTTTATTATAATCTTCCAATTTTTTAAAACCAAATGTAAAAATGTCTTCTTCACGGTGCATTTTCGTACTAAAGTAAGTTTTGTTTAAATGTGGTAAGTAAGTTTGTCGGTATAATTTATTTACACCCTGTATACGGCTGAGTAATAAACGATTTTTGATATTTTCTAAATTTTGAATCTTCAGCCCTCTTGAGGCACGGATTAAAATTGACTTAATTTTAGAAAGGTTCACTGATAATTTTTGTTGAAAAAAAAATCACCAAGTGTAACCCAAAATCTAATAGTACGAGATCCAACAGCATGATTTCTGCCCTCATGATATTGTAGAATGCGATGTGTCGAAAATTAAAGGCCATGTACATACGAGGTGTGTCAATTAAGTAATGAGGCTTTTTTTTTAACTTTTTTTTATTCGAATAAAATTACAATTCAGTATTGTCTCCTTCAAAATAACTTCCTTGGGATGCCACTCAGCGCTGGAGATGGTTCTTCCATTCCTCATAGCAGTACTGGATCATATACTGGAATAGCCTTCACAGCTGGTCGGTTACAGCCGTTTGAATGTTTTCTATGGTCCAAAATAACGCCCTTTGAGGTGATTTTTCAATCTTGGGAAGAGAAAAAAGTCAGAAGGAGTCATGAGGAGGCTGAGGACCCACAGGACTGTTTCTATTGGCTAAAAACACGTTTACTGAAATGGCTTTTATGAAGTTTTTCAAGAACCGACGATTTGAACGCAGAAGATCCCGTATTCTACAGACATTTTCATCGGTTCTTGAAGATGAAGGCCTTCCGCTGCATGATTCATCTTCAATCAACTCTCTTCCGTCTGAGAATGTTTTAAACCACTGAAAAACCTGGGTTCTTGAAAAAAACACTGTCTCCATAGGCGTGTTGAAGTTTTGCAAAAGTATCCGTTGCGCTGTGTCCAAGTCTGAAGCAAAACCTGATAGCACACCGTTGCTCAAAATTAATGTGACTAATTTTTAAATCGCTCTAGAAAAAAAAAAAAAACGGTTTACGAAAACTGTCACAAAAAACAAACAAATGACTCTAACAAGTTCAAATTTGTACTGAAGGTGCATTACATGTTAACCTACCGTCCTTCCAAGTCGCGTCTCCGCAGTGTTTCTAAATGGGGCGCTACGTTGCCAGTCTCATTAATTAATTTACACACCTCGTATATGCATGTTTAATCAAAATTGTTCAATTCTTTGCAGGAATAACGACTCACGTTGGCGTGGGACACGCTGGCGTCGTGACGTGCTGTAAATTCAGCGCAGATGGCAACTTCATTGTCACATGTGACGCTTCCGGAAGTATATTCATATGGGTAACTCCCCAACAACAGAAAGAGAAGGAAGAGGCAAAAGAACAAGAAAAAGAGAAGACGCCAGAGGTGAAGAGTCCCAAATCGGCCAAGGAAGAGGATATTCACGATCTACCGTCAGCACGTAGCCAGAAGAGCGGTGGTTCCAAGGGCAGCCTCAAGGAGGAAGAATGGTGCAGATGCCCGTCTAGATCTTCTCAAAAGTCTGACTCGATTTGTAGTAAAAACGGCGACGGGGATAAAGCTGACAATAAGTCTTTGAAAAAAAGCTCATCAAGATCTACGTGCAGTGAAAAATCAAAAAAATCACAAAAATGAATTATACTCTGAAATGTTTCTTCGATATAAGCTACATAATAATGTACGAGGCCTATTCAAAAAGAGATCGAAATTTTATCGAAATATTGTAGCTAGCGTGTTCCGGTAAAAAGCCCCAACTAGTGGAATCCTTCTTGAACACAATACCTCTTGACATATCGTTTTATCTCCATTAGAAATCTAACCAGAGATGCTGAAATACATGTGTAGTGGTCAGTCGTCGGTTTTGCATCAAGACCAAAATGAGTATTCGAGGAACAGGATACTAGTCCAGGCGGAGTAGATTATTTTTTAAAATAATTAGTTGCGGTACTTTCTCAACATGATAATTAGGAGAAAAATCATACGAATCGAATGAAAATGTTTTGGACAAAATTCGATTGTAGGATCATTGCGAAAAAATTGCAAAAAGGTGCGAAAAAAAGTATTTTCGATTTTTTAGGCACGAAAAAAAAAATGTTGAGTAAAAAACAAAAAAAACTTCACGTTATATCGCTTGAAAAGACGAATAAAATGGTTTTTGAATCAGTGAAATGGGTTGATAACTTTTTGCACAAAAAAATAAAAACCGCGAAACTTGGCGATTTTTCGATGTTCAAATACTCGGTCTGTAATTATCCTATAAATGTCTTCCCACATTTCTCAAATTGTAGGGTTTTCCAACATCTATCTACAGGAAATTTTTTTTCAAAAAAATAAGTTTTCGCGCAAATTGCGAAAAAAGTAAAAACAGGTACTTTAGTAAAACGGCCCCTATTTCCACAATAATTGTCGTAGAGCAATTTTGCAAAAAGCTACGTGTTCTTGAAGACTTCCTCTACAACCATATCAAATTTGAAGTCGATCCGATAATAATAAGTACCTCACCCTTCGCTCGTGCGTCCACGCGGCCCTAAAATTGCACGTTTTTCAGACGCGCTTTTGAGGTACTTATTATTATCGGATCAACTTCAAATTTGATATGGTTGTAGAGGACGTCTTCAAAAACACGTAGCTTTTTGCTCTACTATTGTTCTACTCTCTAAAATTGCTCTACGACTATTATTGGGGAAATAGAGGCCGTTTTACTAAAGTACCTGTTTTTACTTTTTCGCCATTTGCGCGAAAACTTATGAATATTTTTTTAACAAAAATTTAACTGTAGATAGGTGTTGGAAAACCCTACAATTTGAGCCCCGAACACACTAGGACAATTACAGACCGAGTAATTGAACATCGAAAAAATCGCTAATTTTCGCGGTTTTTATTTTTTTGTGCAAAAAGTTATCAACCGATTTGATAACTTTTGACCGATGATCCAAAAACCATTTTATTCGTATTTTCAAGCGCTATAACATGATCTTTTTTGTTTTTTTACTCAACATTTTTTTTGTGCCTAAAAGTCGAAAAAACCTTTTTTTTCGCACCTTTTTGCAATTTTCTCGCAATGATCGGATTTTGTCCAAAACATTTTCATTCGATTCGTACGATTTTTCTCCTAATTATCACGTTGAAAAAGTGCCGCAACTGATTATTTTAAAAAATCACTTGTTTTTTGCTACCTCGCCTGGACTATACGAATGTGAAATCTTGCGGTAAACTCAACAAAAAAGGTTACCGAATCAACATGGGGCTTGATTCAGCAAGCCTTCGGGGAGAACTGCGTGAGCCTAAGACAATGCTATGAGTGGTACAGGCATTTTAAGGAAGGCAGAACAACGACCAATGAATATCCAAGATCTGAACGATTTTCGAAGTCAACGAATGATGAACTATGTCAACTCCGTTTTTACCATTATTCGTTAGAATCTCTATGTTCCTTCTATACTCCTGTCTGCCTTCCTTGAAATGATAGTATGATTTGTAGCACTGTCTTTGGCTCATGCAATCCTCCCCAAAGGTTCGCTGAATCAAACACCGTGGTTATGCGATAAGATTTTTTTGTCGAGTTTAACACTCACACGCTGCTACTTACACAAATCTGTGTTAGAGAACATGCA